AACCCCTGTAAATTTAGATGAGGAAAGTGTTATCTCTAAAAGTACGTCAATGGCAAAGTTGAACAAGAATGGAGAGAGTGGACAGCCCTGACGAACACCACTTGAGGTAATCAATTCTGATGACAGTTCGCCATAAGCTCTCACTCGACCAGTTGTGTTCGAGTAGAGAGCCTTTATAAGGTTAATGTACTTCTTTGGTACTCCTTTCAGTGACAAACACTGCCATAGAACCTCACGATCAACAGAGTCGAATGCCGCCTTAAGGTCGAGAAATACTACCATTGTGGGGCGTCTGAATGTGTGTCTGTGTTCTAGAACCTGACGTAGTGTGAATATCTGATCTATACAACCACGTCCAGGTCGAAAACCAGCCTGATTTTCTCTAGTCTGCTCTTCACGAGCTTTGTTAGGCGTCGAAGTATTATTGAAGCTAATATTTTAGACACTATATTAGTCAAACTGATTCCTCTGTGATTGTCACAAGAGGACTTTTGTCCTTTCTTATAGACTGGCACAATCAGTGATTGAGACCAGTCAGATGGGATTACGTCCAGTTCCCAAATTCTACCTAAGACCTCAGTTAATCTCACTGCTAATACTGGACCACCATCCTTAAAAATCTCAGGAGTAAACCTGTCAGGGCCTGCTGCTCTCCCTCGTTTCAGATTTCCTATGGCTTTTTCAACTTCGTAAAGAGACGGAGGACCTACATTAACTTGCCATTCAGGTTGACTGGAGATCGTGGGAAACCGAAGTGTGGCTGAAGGCCAGTTGAACTGATCCCTAAAGTGTTCTGCCCATCGATCCAATCTCCTGGATTGAGAATGAATAATATGTCCATCTTTCTCTGAGATTGTTTCGCTAACAGTCGGTTTCCTAATTCCGGTTTCCTTAACAAGTCTGAACAATTGTCTGCTATTACCTATTGCCGCTGCCTTTTCCATCTCTCTTGCTTTCGCTACCCACCACTGTTCACGATCATTGCGTAGACTTCTTGTCAGCTTGCGCTTAAGCTGACTCCGCTCTTCATTATGTTCAGAGCCAGGTGGAATGAGTTTCCGAGCATCTATCAGTGCGATAGATGCTGCTGAGATCCAGTGTTGCTCCCTAACCTTCCGGTTTACCTTACTAGCAGATATCACTGCTGTTTCCACAGCTTTTCGGATATCATTCCATGCTGCATCGGGGTGGGCATCACATACATGGCTGCCTAACTGTTTTCCTAGTTGTTCCTGAAATATACTCTTAGCTTGACTATCATTAAGTAGGCCCTAAGAGGTTTCCTTGCAGCGTCTTTCCTACGTCCAGTAAGACGCAGGCAAATACGCGCTCGCACTAGAGCATGATCTGAATCTAGGCATGTGCTCCAGAATGAGCGACAGTCTTCTATCGAGCCCCTCCATCGGTGGCTGATAGCGATGTGATCTATTTGGGTCCAACGTTGGGACGAATTAGGGGGTCGCCATGTTAAAAGATGTTTTTCCTTATGCTTAAAGTTAGTATTTGCAAGGAACAGGCGGTTATCTGAGCATAGCTGCAACAGACGGTCGCCATTATCTGTTCTTTGAGCCACGACGCCATAAGATCCACCTAGGTGTCTTTCCCTATCGCTTAGTTTACCTACTTGAGCATTAAAGTCACCGGCCACTATTACTACATCCGAGCGCCTAGCTTTTCGGAGAAGGTCGAAGAGCTTTCTGTAAAACTCATCTTTTACATCATCTGAGCTGCAGTCAGTGGGAGAATAGGCAGAGACGACGAAGAGGCAACGACGAGTGTCCCTATCTTTCCGGATCCTTACTGTTCCGTTCAGTCGGACAGCGCACAAACGACTGTCTACTGGGATCCACTCTAAGAGAGCTAGTTCTGCCCTAGGACTCAATGCTATACCTACGCCGGCGAGGCCACGGGAAGCAGAATCAGGGCTTCCAGATACACGAAGCGTGAATCGAGTCGGTTCTTTATTTTGGCATGGTGAGGTCAAATGAATGACGCTACTCGGATCCTGTATGCGCGTTTCGGAGACGCAGCACACATCGATGGCGCGGGATTCTAAAGTTAGCTAAGGAAGCCTGCTGTCCTATTTGGCACAGTGTTCGTACGTTAAAAGCTCCTACGTGTAGTTTAGAGCGTGGTTTCAGGAGACCAGGAATAGCGTTCCGCGTACTCGAATCGTTTGCCCTAGCGGTGCGAGGTGATAAAGAGACGTGAGGAGGGTTAGTCATGGAGATAAGAGAGGTATTAGGAGGTGTAGGAAGGATTTGAATGTGACCAACTTGGTCTCGTGTGCTGTTACGGGTATGAGGGCTGATGTCACTTCCCGGCTGCCCACACCGTGGAAGGGTATTTCTTGAGGAACCTGAAAAGGAAATTGGATTAGTGTTGGTCTTAACGACCTGGGAGCGTGACCGCAGAGCCCAAGGGACAACTGCTTGAGGCCGGTCGCGCACGACCTTTTCTAACCCCACCCCTCCTTGTGGGAAGGCAGCATCGCTGTCATGCTGGTTGTCCGAGGGAAACACCTTACTGCTGTCACACCTCTGAACAGTCAGCAGTACGACTTCGCCCTCAGACCTTGAGTTGCTGCTTTTAGTCTTACTGTTCTCCAATCGACCTGCCTGGCATGGTAGAACCTACAGGAACATATGTTCCAGCCAATATAGCTCGGTTGGGTCATCACGGTAGGCAAGCCCGACCACCGCGTCAAGGTAGCAGCTTCGGTCGGGTTGACAAGAATAAGTTTTAGAAGTGTTTCCGACGCCTCAGCAGCTTTCGGCTTTCTTTGTCCATCCATGGAGGGCAATGTGATAGCCTACCTATTTACCATAGGATATACGGTGATGTTACGAATTAGAATGTAGCTTTAAACTTATCCCATTCGTCTTCGATCGATACATCTGCATTGATAGACCAGTCTGTTGAGATAGTACAGTCTCTGATTGCTAGAATGTTAGCTCATCAGATATTGGGAAAGACTGAATCAGATACGCATTGCATACTGTGTTCGAAACCTAAATTACGGTACAACGTGGTCACTATTTGATAGTGAGAGGCTTTGAATATCAATGACATCACAGTGGTGTGTAATGACAAGGTCCAGGAATGACGGTTCTTGTCCCAAATCAATGTATCGGTTTAAAGATACATTGTACAAGTGCACACTGAATAATGATTGGTAGAAGGTTGCTAACGAAACATTCACCTGAAGTTGTAAGCTCTATCCAGCTAATATGGAGTGAGTTGAAATCTCCAACGGTGAGACAACATTCAGCTTCACTCCAAGAATAGATATAATATAAGATAAAGTCGTTAGCATGACAAGATGGACTACGGTATATTCCTCCTATTGTCACTCGTGTCTCCTGCGGTTTATTACTCTATCACTTTTAATACAGATATACCCTGCAATGATTGGAGGATAGTTTGTATCTACAATAAGCTGCGTTTCTGTGACAACAATTATATCGCGACTTAACTTGTCCACCATCAAACTTAGCTCGTACGTTTCATTCTTAAGACTACGAGCGTTCGTGTAGCACACATTTAAGGTGTTTTAAGAATCACTAATTCTACCCATACAGATCTCGGAAGAATTGGCTTCTAATACCTGACTACCCAAAATCTCTAAACCCTAAGGTTTGCTTTGCCGTTTCGCTTTTGAGTTTCTAACTCAGTAAGGGCATTCTTCAACTTGATCCAATCCTCAGGTGACTGATCTGGTCAGATATGGGTATTCAGATCACGAGTTTTGCATGAGCCATTTAGTATAACGTCCTTTCTTCGTAAATTTCAAGTACTAGCATCACACTCCCTCTTGATGGGGTCTCACCTCCAAACTTCTTACAGTCTCGTCCCTTTAGTGATATTTACCACTGAAATCTCTTCTAGTAGTACATTTCTGATGGCGGATTCAACTGAATCCAAATTGTGTGTATGTCTTATGGCAGAGTCATTTCTCTTCTAAATTAAGAATGGATTTGACTTCTTTAAAAGTGTTGTTCACGGCTTTTGATCGTGTTGCCATTTCCTACTGTTAACAACTAGAAGCTTTACTTTGGTTGTTAAACGATCAGTCATTTGATTCGAGCAAATTACGATAATATTCGATGAGACCAAATTCTTAGAATCGTGACTACCAATATCCAGTGGTATTTTACTCATGAATTGTTTCAAAAGAGATTTATCTAATGCATGTTGCGCGGTTGGTTGTTGAGCTCGTTCCGTAACAGCACTTACTACACTGACACATTCTTCTCTGTCATTACCCATGTTACCAATTTAGCCCTCATCAACATTTTGCTGGCCAACGCCAGAAGGCTAATTGTCTATTGGACGAGTAATGCTTTACTCGAACAATAAAGCATGCAAACCCAATGGAAAGTAGGCTTTGAGCTCCTTTTATATGCGATGGGATTTAAACGAGTACTCATCTCATAGAGCTACGTTTTGCACTTATTATATCGGATTCCGTCTTCTACAATGGATAAGCGATTTGGCTGTTCACATTTGAGAGCAGAGCCGACCATTTTAAAATGATGTAAAGGGGAGAAATACACAAGATAATCACTAGTGTGATAATGAACTAAAAAAGGTAACACAAAATGGATTTGAAGAAAAGTTCCAAGCCTTAACCAGAATAAATCAAGTCAAAGTTGACCAAGTATACTTTGATGCAATAAATGCACAAAAGCAAAGATAATTCACAAGTTCGAAATCACTGCCTTTAAAAGGCTGAATTGCACGAAGCAAGAGTGAATCTGATGCTATATGGATAGAGACTTAAGACGAGTGGAGTCCTGAGAGATATGATCTAAAATATTCTTACTTTATATCAACGAATATTCGTTGACAATATTGCTGAGATTTGTATCTAAGCTTTATTGGTTGGATATACATAAGTTACTTACGCAAACAAATAATACCAGCTCAGTGAACGTCTTAAGCTAGGAACCACGATGTCACGAACATACTTACTGCGAATATCAAGAAGAAATACTGACCTACAACTCGCATTTTTGAAACCCACTGTCCTTGAAATATTTTTGGGACAACCAATCAAATCCAAGTCCGGTGAATATTGATTTCACACTCAAGGATCAACAGTGAACTCTGGAACTCATTCGAAAGCTTACGCTACTTATAGTCAGTTTCAGTTTGGAAAGGACAGGAGTCTTGATGGCCCGTGTTAGTACTGGCAATGGTGGTCTCTCAGTTGCTCCAAATTTCTTTTGAAAGAGTCGACGTATGGAGCCTCAACCACGTGCTGAAGTAATGAATTCCACTCGTAAGTCTTTCCAATATTTAAATGATGAAATGTTTAGATTATTATACCAGATTTACGTGCGACCACATTTAGAATATGGGATTCAAGCAGCGAGTCCTTGTTTCAAATATAAAGCCGAGATGCTGGAAAGAGTCCAACGACGAGGTACTAATATATTACAAAGTCTATCTGACCTATCTTATGAAGACAGACTGAGAAACCTCAACTTATTTCCGTTATCTTACCGTAGAGTACGGGGTGATCTAATATTGCCTTATCGTATACTGAACGATGACCTTGGTATTAACATGTCTTATCTTTTACTTCCGTCCAGGACTGATCACTTGTGAGGATATTCGAAGAAAGTTAAAAAACCGAGATCAAATCGTTTACGTCTGGAGTTTCGTTTCTCGCACCGAGTAGTGAATAACTGGAATTCTCTACCGGAACATGTAATATCGGCACCGTCTGTTAATATATTCAAAACGAGGCTGGACCTCCACAGTATTACAAACTGCAAGGATTGATATAGGTCGATAGACCTCTTATTCTTATCACTGAAGACTGATGACAAAGTCCGTAGTCAGCCGACAAGTAATTTGTTCTGGGCTTGTGAACTTTTTGAGGTGTCCTTGTAAATTCTCTGTTTTAGAAAACAAGAAAAATGAGGGCATATCAGGTGCAAATTTATCACTAAGCAATTTGAAAACTGTAATCAAGTAGCCTCTAGTTCTACGATAAGACAGTGAGAAAAGGTTTAGCTTGGCCAGTCGAGCATCATACGGAAGCTTCACTATTCCGGGGATCAGCTTATTTGCAGTTCTCTGAACCTTTTCCAAAAGCTCACTGTCTTTTTTAAGCGGGGGCTAGCCGCTTGTATGCAGTACCAAGCAGTCAGAATGTTTTAACCTTGGTCACAAAGTGGTCGATGTCTAATCCTAGGGGACTTTAATGCACCTATGGTAGACTGAGAAGGTTTGCGAACTGAGTTGTCAGATAATCCCTCCGAGCAGGAACTAGTTGATGCGGTTATCACATGTGCCCTAGTGCAACATGTAAAGGAAGCGACTAGGTACGACCCGGACTCTGAATCATCCTTACTAGATCTTATATTGACTCACTATGAGGATGACGTTGCGAACCTCCATTACATGCACCCCTGGGTAAAAGTGATCACGCAGTTTTAACTTTCAACTTCCATATAACTGTCAATCACGAGCACGGGTTAGCTCAATCCAGACCTAACGTCTGGAAAGCAAACATACCAGATATCATACACTGAGCATCGTTAGCAGATTGGACAATAGACCCAGAGTCCTCAATTGAAACGGCTTAGAACGCATTTCGAAATTTATACTTAAAAGTTACCACACCCCACATCCCTTGGACTATACCAAGGGGGCCGAGAAACTCTCCACCATGTTTCAGTAGGGAGGTCCACATCCTTCTCCGTAAGAGAAGATAAATTTGGGATAGATTTAGGTTACTGAGGACTGATGAGACAAAATCTCAGTATTGAAAAGCTCGGAATACCTGTGCCTCGACCCTCCGTAAGTCTAGGAAGTTGTACGAAGAAAATGTTGTTAAGGAATCCATAGAATGTCCTAAACGCTTGTATTCTTATATAAGCCAAAGGCAAAAAGAAAACGAAATATTCCTGAACTATGGGGAGACAGTACTCCCGCATCATTAGTGGAGGATGACTTTGGAAAGGCTCAAGTGTTCTCGAACTACTTTAGCACCCTTCCGTCAACGCATACAAATCCCCCCACGCACACACTGGGTAGAGTGACCATTAAAGAACTCGATATCTTTGGTCTGCTAAATAAGCTTGACATAGGTAAATCCACGGGGCCCGATGAATTGCACCCTAGGCTACTGAAGGAATTATCTAACTTCGCTGCAAATCCTTTGAGTATATGCTTTAATCTATCCGTAACGCAGGGTCGTTGCCAAAAGACTGAAAGAACGCTATAGTAAATCCTGTCTTCAAAACAGGTACGAAACATAAACCTGAGAATTACCGACCCGTTAGCCTAACTAGTATGGTTGCTAAAATCTTAGAAAAGATTATTCGAAAGGAGCTGTTTAAGTACCTCGATGAAAACCGGGTCCTTTCGGAGAAGCAGCACGGTTTCAGAATAGGTTATTCTTGTCTCACTAACTTATAAGTCGCTCGTGAAAGCTGGTGCGCCCTTAAGGACCAAAAGTTACCTGTAGACGTAGCCTACATTGATTTCAGCAAGCTTTTGACAAAGTTCCGCACAACCGGCTGTTACATAAGTTAAGAAAAGTCGGGATTGGAGGCAATTTATTGATGTGGATGAAAGACTTCTTAGTTGGGCGCCAATAAAGAGTACGGGTGAACTCAAAGTTATCTAGCTGGGAAACTGTGCTTAGTGGAGTGCCCCAGGGTACAGTTTTGGGGCCAGTGCTATTCCTCTTGTATGTAAATGACCTTTCTCGTCTCTTATCATCATCGGTCTTGTTATATGCTGACGATGTCAAGATATGGAGAACGATACGATGTAAGGGTGATAGCTTAGAACTCCTAAATGACCTGGAGAAATCTGAATGGTCTCAAACCTGGCAGTTGCCGATGAATATTTCCAAGTGTGTTATGATACATATCGGTCATCAAGGTACAGATACACGATGAATAACACTGAGCTACCTGTTGTCCAGACACGTAATGACTTCGGAGTCATCGTTAGCCAAGACTTAAAGACTACTGTACACTGCCATGCAATAGCCGCCAAAGGTTTTAGAACCTTATGGTCAATACGTTGGTCTTTTAGTCATGTCGACGCTAAAACGTTTTTGACTTTGTATACAGTGTTTGTACGTCCTAAACTTGAGTACTGCATACAAGCGGCTAGCCCCCGCTTAAAAAAGACAGTGAGCTTTTGGAAAAGGTTCAGAGAACTGCAAATAAGCTGATCCCCGGAATAGTGAAGCTTCCGTATGATGCTCGACTGGCCAAGCTAAACCTTTTCTCACTGTCTTATCGTAGAACTAGAGGCTACTTGATTACAGTTTTCAAATTGCTTAGTGATAAATTTGCACCTGATATGCCCTCATTTTTCTTGTTTTCTAAAACAGAGAATTTACAAGGACACCTCAAAAAAGTTCACAAGCCCAGAACAAATTACTTGTCGGCTGGCTACAGAGTTTTCCATCGAATCATCAACTAGTGGGATTCATTGCCTCATCACGTGGTTGAGGCTCCATCCGTCTACTCTTTCAAAAGAAATTTGGAGCAACTGAGAGACCACTATTGCCAGGACTAACTCATATCATCAAGCCTCCTGTCCTTTCCAAACTGAAACTGAATGTTTAAACGTAGCTCCTCACACACCTTAGCTCATAACGTACTTTCATGATAAACCGAAAGCGTAAAATAGCTGAAAATTGCAGCGCTTTTTATATCTTGAGGACACGACTGTGTCTTCGTTTTTGGTAGTTGAACCCATGCATGCGACTGAAATTAATCCGTTACTAGAATATTCTGTTTGTTCTTTATTGACGAACTCGCCTGCTGTGTCCTTTTAGTAGTCCTGATTTGATTTGGAAAAATAAAAAGTATTTCCTCAAAATCATTTTGTAGTACCTTGTGCATCATAATTAAATGGCCTCTCCATTTAATATAGTCTAACCTATGAAGCCGCTCATCGTAAGTTAGGCCAAAGACCTCTGGAATTGTGGTCCTCTTTACTCTGTAAGAGATTTGGGTCGTTTTGTTAACGGGAGTATGACCCGTAAGGTGATGCAGTTCTGGTAGGCAAAGGCGAAATGTAGTTTCTCGGGTCTCTTAAGTAAAAGCGTATGAATGTAATGTACTGTTAATCACTACTCTTATAAGGTTGGGTCACAGGATGAGTAATATTGGAGTTAGACGTAGAGTATAGGGTACACCGGTTATTCAGGTCATCAATCTACATCAGTTGATATGATTAAGCTATGTACTACAAATGCTTAGCTGCTACTTATCACGCAGTTCAGTATGCAGGAAAGCCTGGAAAAGGTCGACAAAAATGTGGCATCAGTCCCTGAATCTATTTACTGGTGATCTGTGCTATCTTGACAGTTGAAAATTTCATGGTTTCGTCCCACCTAATAGTCATAGTAAGTGGTTGTAGACGTCGGCTGACATGACTTAAAGTGGTTTGGTTGAATTTGTTCTCCATCTTCTAAATATTAAATTAGTTGTCACACCTAGTTCTTCATTTTTTTGTGTGCTTTATTTATTCCTTTTAAGTTGTGTTTTGTTATGTTTAGCAATTATTTCTTTTTAATTCCCTCGGTGTGCTGACATGAGATTTTGGAATTTAAGCCGTTGCATAGGCACCCCGAGTCATATGCATGACTGACGTGGTTAATAGGACTTACGGAAAAGTTATCACTTTTATAGTCTCTTTAATCGGAAGTACTTGTAAGAAGTTATTCCGAGCTATCAACATAAAAAGTCTAAATCAATGGGTAAAATCAGGCAAAATCGGTTCCATTCGTTTGAATGTATTTGTTTCTCATCTTTCTGTAAATTTCCACCGTATCACCATCTTGTTCTTGATTCCTTATTCTGCTTTCTCGCATCTGTTTAAATAATTATTCACCTGGTCATTTCGTTTATCTCCTGTTTCCTAGATTGACCCCTGCCAAGTTTTGCGCTTTATCCACTTGTTGTTTTGTTCTTGCTTTCTCTCCATTATCTTAATCCCTTCAAGTGTGTTACGAGAAAATCAGGCTGACTTCAGACATCGTCGTGGCTGCATCG